TCTAGCTCTCTATGAATATAATAACATCCACTTCTTTTGCATAGGCTCGTGCGATTTCCAACTGGCTTTCCTGCGATTATTTATCAATAGATCATCTTGTACATCCGTACATATGCTTTCAGATGTAAAAAATTTGCAATGGGTTGCAATAGCCTTTTATTTGTACCAGGCTGAATGAAAATTCTCCACACGTTTTTTTTGTGTAGTTATATACTGTTACCTTTAATCTAATAACGTTGTTAAGGTAAAGCACACTACCTATTATTCCCGTAGAAAATTCAATTAACTCTTTTTAAAAGTTACCTCGACGTTGGTTTTTTCGCAGCGAACGTTTTTAAAATCAATTCTTTACAAAAGCAAAAAGCAAGAAGGAACGCGTACACGAATGCAAACATACATAACATGTACTTATATATACAGTTCGTATATGTATGTTGGTACCTACATAGGTAAACGGCTCAGACCTTATATGTGTGTTTGTATGTGTGTCTATGTAGTTCTGAAACAGGAGTTGGCGGAAGTTCGATTGCAAATTCCCTCGGGAAGAATTGCCTCTTCATGACGGAAATATTAAATGTGGTTAAGAAACGTAGTTTAAAATTCGGAGTAAGTACATTCGTCAAATATTCATACATGTAATCACGTGGAGCGCCTAGGAGATTGAGTCACTATTGTTAGGGCCCTCTGTAAACGTAGATCGAATGATTTAACGGCTGAAAATTGTAAACTTTTTAGTAAAAAGAAGACAAATTCGTTCTTTTCTATGAGTGATTTTAAAATGAAAACTATACCGTACATCTACATCCAAGGGGTAACCATTAAATACGATAACTCCTTCATTCTTTTACTGACTCAAATTTAAGGCTAAATAAAAAGCCATGTCTAGAACCACGTTCTGCATTTTCTAAGCTTTTTATACATCAAGTATAGGAATAAAGGTTAATTTAACACAAGATATGAAAAAAGTATTTCAGCGGTCACAAGTGACGGCTGCAATCTGATGGTACAAGAACAACAGTAGTCACATATGGAATTAATTCATAAAAAAGACGTTTTTATAGAAGAATCCTACTATTTCTTTGAAATATTTGGTCTCATATTTCCGCGGTACGACTCTTAGTACCTTTAAGTCAATGCTATGTGATTTAGGAGTAAAATAGAATGTATAAGAAACTAAAAATGATAGTTTAGAATAAGCCCCAATTTGCTAGATTTAAAAGGGTAACGGAATTTCGTGATTGTAGAACCTGCGTAAACCATGTGGCTTTCTTTGAAACAAACTTTTCATAGAAATTTTATTNAAATCCTTCCCCCCATTTTATTTAAAAAAAATACTTGATGAATCTGATGGGGATGCCGTGGATAGAGTAGGTTAGAAATGAGGAGGTATCAAAAACAATAGGATAACGATATGGAAGTCAATAAAAAAATAGGTAAGATAGGTTGGTAGGGCATCTTCTCAGGCTTGAAGAGCTACTTAGAGATTTATTAGAAGCAGAAGTAGGACTTAAGTCTAGTAGAGGTAGATCTAGATTATATTACCGTCGACAGTTACGGATATAGGATGTTCTAGTTTCAGTTTTCAGTTTAGAAAGAGTAAGAGAACAGAGGACTCTATGGAAGTCAATAAGAAATAGGCTAGATAGGTTAGTAGGACACCTTCTCAGGCATGAAGGTCTAGTCAGAAACATATTAGAAGCAGAAACGGAAGTTAGGAGGAGTAGAGGTGAACCTAGATTAGATTACTTTTCGCAAATAGTTGAGGATATGGGTTGTTCTAGTTTTTAATTAAGCTAATTCTAATTAGCTCAGGATAGAAAAGAGTGGAGGTGAGTGTTCAACCAGTCTTAGAACTGACGGCCCTATGATGATAATAATAATTTAAAATCATCTGAAGCAGTAAATGTCTTAGCTTAGTAAACATTGATCCATTAATTTCTAAGTATATCTTCTTTTTCAATCCAACAAAATCTTCATTTGTTTTGCAAATAAAATGACCGCTTTGTTCAGGTATAATAATCTCTTAATACGAAGTGTTATACATCCTATTTTGCGATTTTCGACTGGTGATTTAAAATGGACGTTTGTTTTTGATCTATGTGAATTGATATAGATAAATAACTAGGCGTACCTTTTCAATCAGTAATTTCCATTAAACCTCTTGCCATAAACAGATATAATTGGGCATGTAGGGAAGTACATTTTTGTTTTTCTCTTTTAAATAATGCATCCTGCGCAATTACCTTTGTCGATTTTATCAATTAATGTTCGATTTTATAGCGCTAAATTCGTCCATTATAGTAAAACGAAAACGCTTAAAAGCAATTATTTACTTAAACATTCATTACGGTGTAATTACAGTTTGCGTTGATTCGGTTTTGTCGAAGTTTGAAAACATATCGACTTCGTTCTATAATAATATCCGCCGTGTCATTATTTATGCATTTCGATTCTATTGTGTTTGAAAAGAGCTTTGGAATGCAGACGTTGAAATTGATTTTTGAACCTGATAGTATCGCCTCTTGCCATCCTTCGTATTTAGCCACGCATTGGTATAAACATACAAACACAAATACACGCACTCACATATGCATATCCATAGATATATGCCGATATATCAGAACGTAAATTGGTTAACGGTTTCGTATTATTATAGACAAGAAATGATAGAACATTTTGTATCACATTTCAAAAATGTCACATGTTTGCTCTTTATGCTTTTCCTTAGTTATTGGAATATTTTATTCGATAGGTCGGCATTTAATATATTTGGTATTTAATTACATACATATCTATACATAAGTAAGGAAACTGATTCAAGTTTCGAAGTTTCAACTAGCTGGTAGCTATTCACCATTTAGACTCATCGGGTGGTATGCATAAAGTTGAGTGCTTAGCATATAGTCTTACGTTTTTAAAGTAGCCGGACAACATGATAATATATGACTAAAGTTACTTAGATGTTTCATATAAGTTTTGTTTATGTTGATGGAGATAACATGTTAAGCAGTAGGTGAAAAAATGTGAATCAATTATTTAAAATAAATGTTTATTTTCTTAAATTTTACTTGAGTCTTTAAAGAATTGTCGATTTTGGTTTCTATCAATCTCTGCGAAGTATGTATGTACTGTATTTCGCATACTACTTTCATTTAGGTAGATATTTCAAAAGATTTCCATATCTTTGTGTTCTGAAGAAACTGGATTTCCGGATTTCAACCGCGTCTTGATGAAATCCCCATGACAGATCATGGTGGCGTTTATCGCGTTCGATGTTTCGTCTTATATCGCAAGCGACATCTTCAGGAACTTCACATTGTTGATGTACGATCTTCAACGATTGACTGGGAATCCTTAAAACCTTTGGGTGTTTCATTCCCACCAGCCACTAATGCTGGTGGGCGGATAGAAAGTAGAGCGGAAGGCCCTCTTCAGTCTACTTGCACGAATCGTGGGAATGGGTGGGTGGTGGTTCGGATGAAAATGATGAGACGGACGAAATGAAGACAGAAGAGAATGAAATATTATCTGTGGAATATTACTGCCCCAGCATTTGCCTAAGTGATCCAAGGAAACCACAGAAAAACATGGACCAAGGCAGACGGATTCTTTTGGCAGCGGTTTAAATAGTCCTTTCGTCCTTGAGCATGAGTGGTGGTACGGTCATACTTCAATACCTGTTTCCAGGCTGTATCGAGGTGTTGCCCATCTTCCCTCTTGAGATTGTTTGGAAGTTTGTTGATCTCAAGCGCTCCCTTGATGCCCCTGTGGAGATAGTGGCTTTTTTTGGTTAGCAACTTTGCCTGGTCGAATTGAATGTCGTGTCGTGTCGTGTCTTGTGCTCCGAACATGTTCTGCCAAGGATGATTTGCTATATTGTTCCTTCATCTTCTTTCATCTTTGTTGCGATAGATCCACTTGATTTCAGATTCTAGCAGAATAACATCCTTCAGTGCAGAAAGCTGATGTGTAAGTTTACCATAAGGGTTGAAGATTATCTTGCAGAATTCGACGGATTTTGTCCTTTGATGAATAGGAGATTTGCTGTGGATTTTGACTTGACATTAATCTTGAGTTGTCGATACTTCTGTATTGTTCCATTCACATCACGTGTATCAGTGACAAAATGAAGTTCCTTTTCCAAAGATGCTGTTTCGCAAATAGCTAAGACCTTATGCATTAAGGAGTTGATCACTGACAGCTTCTGCGCAGGGTGATATTGAGATACATGAGATGTGTCTGTTGGTATATGTAGACATCCGATGGACAGTGTCTTCCAAGATACCATTTGATCGACGGGACACCATAACATCTAGGAAGCCCAGTTTCAGTTTGTGTTGTCTCATTCATTGTAAACTTGATGCTTGGATGATGTGTATGTGTTTTGCTTGTGGAATCTGAAGTTTTGAGGATATCCACTAATCTATTTAGAAGGAATTGATGTCAGGAACAACAGGATAATTTTATAATCCTATTCTAATAAAATTGGAAGCTTATACCGCTGTTGTCCTAAACTTTTAAATTTGCTAGGAATGTGAATTTAGACTGAAAGGACATTATTTAGATCTCTAGATGATTTGACGAAAATGGCGAAAATATCTTTTTTCATGATTTTGATTGAAGGGCAACTCCATATCTAGTTAACACGATTAGAGCAAAGCTCGAGACGAAAAAAGCAATAAGTGGACTTTTGACATTACCAAATCCTTCCCCCCAGTCCAAGAAGAAGTAATTTCCCCACCTTCTTCTCTCTTTGGTTAATCCCACCTAAATCGCCTTTATTGTTTTTGACTGTATCAACATTGGCCACGACCATTTTAAACTAAATTTCAATTTGTATTTCATTAAAGGAAGTTAAAACAACGTGTATGTACGTATGTATGTAATGGTGGGGTGGGTAGAAGGATGCTCCTTCACGTATTGTCGTATCCAACCCAACAAGAGTCCTCTGCAATCCTCCCCAATCCAGTCCAGTCTTATGCCGCCAGTTGCCGAATACGCGCCGATCTCGCTTCAAGTGTCGATTCCCGTATTCGGGACCGAAGACCGAAGAATAGCGTCAGTTTAGGTCCGGTCGTGGTTCCGCGCAGAACGTACGCTCCAAGTTTTGCGTTCACAGCTGTACTGCGGCGGTTCTAACTTACGTATCGTACGTGTATAAACATTATCCGATTTTCCGAAAGTTTATTACAAATCGGCTTTTGATTAGTTTCGATTTACCCGTTTCCCTATTTGTTTTCCGGAGTCTCTTGATGTCTACCTGTGCTTCTGCTAATTTTGTGTTATTTTTGTGGTTTGTGTGAATTTGTGTTTTGTTTGTGTTTGATTTGCCGCGCACAAATAAAGTTTTGTTCGGCATGGCCGGAATAGGAAACATGATGGCCATGCTCCGTCGCTCTTTGGTCTGTTTAGCCATGATGATGTCTTGCATGACGATCTTCATAGGCGGTGAACAGGACGTGGGGAGCCCGCTGAGGGTCGCCCAGTGCAGGGCAACTTGCTTGGAAAGGGTAAGTTGAGACGAAGCCTTTTGTTTACGAGTGCACTCAATATGATGTGGGCGCCATTTTTGTGTTTAAACACACTGGGTCCTTCCAGCCATTGTTTCTATGCCCAGCCTTCTCAATCAGAATGCTAATTAAACCCTCTCACCAACCTATTACTGGATTCGACGACTCTTCTTAAACATGCACCATTGAATTGATAAGTACCACCAGCCGATAGATGAACTAACTCTTCAAAGTCCCCTAACACTAGAACATGTATACGGTACCTATACGGATTTGCATTTGTTGCGACCTTTTTGATGGTTAGACGCGATCCTGGGTCTCTTCACCAACCATCGCACGTTCAATCTAACTGAAGTATACGAGTTCCGGATATTTGTTTCTCTAACAGTCAGGAACCGCTTAGCATGTGTATCTTCCATCAGCCAAGCCCATGTCAGGCAGACATCCTAATGTTTTTTTTTTGACCAGTTCCAGTTAACTAACCATTTCGTATTTTGTAATTCGGCTCGATTTTTTTTTTCTTTCGTTCAGTAAAGTTCACAAGTAAAATTAGATACTGTATGAAGAACCAATTCCAGAAAGACTGTTTAATGTCTTCTAATGTGGATCTTAACACCAATAAATTTTTCGTTGATTCCTCATCAGGATTGATCATCACAATTACCAGTTTTGTTTGTTAGAGGATATTTTCTGCTGCTCATAGGACATTTAGCTATTAAACACCCGTGTAATAACTCGCGTCGTGAGTTTGTTTTTATTTTATTTGGTATGCTTGGTTGTGTGACAGCGCGAAGGCGTCTATTTTAAAACGAACTCTCGTGGTGTTGTTGCTGTTGTTTTTTTCTTGTGAAGTCCTAAAACTGTGGGAGGCCGTATCAAATTCTGGCATAATCCCGGGAATTTGTTTGGAAATAAACGTCGTTTCGTTGGTGCTTGATTTATAGGACATTGGTTAGGGACAGAATTTGCTGCGAAGTCTGAAGTGACGTAAACAAAATGGACAGTAACGCTCGAGGGTGTTATTTCGAGAAAGCGTACACATGACATATTTGTCTCGGTTATTGTAGGAAACGGGATAGACCGTGTAGAAAGCATTTTCGTTGCCTTTTCAATATGTTCATGTTTCCTGAAAGTGTTGTTGACGGTTTGCGGTGTTATGAAAGCTTCGGATACACATTGTTTAGAGATAAACACAATTGGAGAACCAACATATACTCTTGTATGACACCAGTGGACAGTAAAGTTTTGTATGTTCCCAGTGAACACAAGGGTTTTTCCAAGTCTGCTTGTGTTTAAATTATTGATTTTAAATCAGTTGTACGTAATTGCAATAATAAGTTCAATGTGTTAAAGAAGTACAGATACAATAGAACCTCGATAAGATAAAGACCAAGGGAAACGTAAAATAATTTGAGTTATTGAGGTTTTTACTTACCAAGGGTTCAAGTTTAAGCTTTAAAATTATGGATTTCCAGTGACTTCAGCTTTTTCCTTTAGTATAGGTCCACTAACACTAATGTTTTTACATATTTTTACACTGTCTAAACCATGTAAATAGCAAGCACTTTTTTAAATTAGGAAATTCAGTAATTCTTCGTCTTTTACATAGAAGACTTTTTCCCGATTCAAACCACTTTTCACTGCTTACTGAGAGGTGCGATGCCCAAATTATTCGTTTAAGTTACAGAGGGTTTTTATTTTAAGTAATAGAGGTTTTGGACTTCGAAGGGAAGGGAACACAAAATTTTATTAAGTTATAGAGGTTATTACGTTATCGAGGTTTAAGTTATCAAGATTCTACCGTACATACTTTGTGAAGCATGTTACCTACAAGTATGTATAATAGATGTTAGATCCCTGCATCTTTTTTATCTTGTTCCAACGATCGCAATTCCTTGCTGTGCTCATTACAACATTCTCGCGTTTGTGTTTTTGCTCGTAATAAACCTTTTAATGTCTTATTGTGCGTATTGGTCATAACAACGGTAATGTCTTCGTAGAATAACAGCGAAGAGGGGAACAAAGGCTTAATAAAGTATTTTACTGCCATATGGCACCGTGGCTTTATAATCACGGGACTTGTTCTAAGGCTGATATTTACGACACATTTATTCCCTGCGAGATGGGGAGTCATGACATCCGATAGTACACATTTTCCCAGTTGGAAAAAAAAAGCAAATGAAAGCGTAGTAATAAAAGTGGATACTGGCCGTGAGCTATAAGTACAACAATCGATATTTTAATTTGAAAATATTGGTTTGAAGATTAATATATTACAAATGCCTCCTTCATTCTTTATTTGTAATAATGAGAGTAATATCAACAATAAATTAAAATCAAGCTGAATAGTAATAAGTTATCATGAGAGTGCTATGCTTGGAAAATCAAGAACTTCATAAGGTCATATATAAAGTGTTGAGTTGACTAACAATCTACTTCTCATTATCTTATGTAATTGAATTTTTGGACATGAATACAAACTCGAGTTAGTTTATTTAACACAAACTTTTTACTATCTAAGTTTGAATTGCTACAAGTTCTTCAACTTCAAATGTGTTTTTGACAGCCAACATTGGTAGGTTTAACTATAGATTTAAAAAAACACAATTTTCCAGTCATAATGGTTTCCCAAATCTAGTTTCAGTTCCAAATCTTCAATACTGTTTCATGTTTGATTTTATAATACTTTTACTTCATATTACTTAATGCACCAAAGTATATGCACTATCCGTACTATGTGAAGTTTTTAATTTATCGAAAGGCATAATTTCTGTTAAAACCTGCTTATGGGATACGTTTTCGTGGACCTATTTATATCTGATGCATCATCCCTAATTTTTGTGATATGGGCATAAGCATCTTGCAGTTGAGAGCTTCCTCTGATGGAGTTTATTTTGAAACTTATAATCTGTTTTTTATAAAGAACCTACAGTAGAAATTTTGAATAATTTGGTTGATATTTCTTAGAGTTCTCTCTGTATAAGTTGTTCTTTTTCGTCTCATAATGGTTGAACGTTGGGATGCAAATACATTATAACGTCTTTGAAGATGGCTGCTATTACAAACGGAAAAGACCCACTTTTACAAGTTAGTTTTTTATTAATCCTCTATAAAATTAGATCGCCTTTTGTTACATTATTTCCGGTGTGTTTGTTTCCCGCGATCTGAATGGAATGCGATTGTTGTTTCCTTCTCTGTTTCCGATCGGCCGGTAATCCCATGAAATTGGCGTTTACTAAGGGCGATTCAAGTGTACCTAACTACTAAAGTAAACAGCAAACGGGTTTGAATAATAGAACATGCTTGCTCATAATATACCCGTGTATTTGAAACTATACATTTACGGCCACGTTATTATTAAATTGAAGGAATTATATTATGACTTCTAGGACTCACGAAAAATATGAGAGGAAAACAGAAAAGTCATGGATTTACTGACAACAAAAATTTGATGATGTATTTTCCTAGGTAATATTCAAAAATTTATTTCCATTAGAAATCATCACTTTCATTGACTGGAAATTGTAAATTCTTGTAAAAAATATTGGGTTAATTGACATTAGTATTCTAGCAGTCGCTGTTCTTTCAAATAAGCAAGTGTTTAAGAACGAATTGCACACGTTCTAGTTGCAGAAGTCCCAAACCAATTTATGTAACAGGTAGACGTATACGCATTTTTCTTTGCGTTGTTCTCAGTACGTTCCATCCGGGTTTTGTTATTTATTGTTCCTCGGCTTCATCTCCGCTCGTCGTAATCTTCGGCGAGATAAGAAGCGGCGGTGACAGTGGCGGCGGCGACCGATGAGATCTGTCCACAACCAACGAACGAACGAGAGAGTCCTCTATCTGCCTGCACTCGTCTTTGCTCGTGACTGCATGGCCAACTTACGTTAGACCTGCTGAATCACAGTCGACAAAGCAGGTGCATTCGATTGTCCTTAGCGAACAGCTTGGTCGACCGGCTGACTGAGAACTAGGCGATGTTGCCGCTTTGAACTAGTTAGTTCCTTTTTGGAATGCCCACTCATCGTCAACAATAATTGCTTATCCGTTTTCTCATTGTATTAGGAAACTTTGACTGCAACATGTAATGCAGGTACCTTCAACGGGTATCTAGTGGATTTCAAGATTTTACACCAAAGTTCGGATTCGGGGTTTTCAAGAGGGATACTATTGAATTATGCATATCAGAATCCAGGACTGTTTTCTCAAAAAATCAGATATAAAATCGTTTGAAATCGCACATCCCTTTTTCTCACTGGCAAACACATTCATAAGCTGTCAACGAACAATTAAAACCGAGCGGTATGGCTTAGAGGTTTAGACTACTACTTAGCGTTTGGGAGGACACAGGTTCGATTCTGAGTCTGTCTGCCTGGTTCAAGTTTTTCTTTGATTTTCTTGGCAGTAATAGTCCACATATAATCTTTCACTATCTTCTGTCTTCATTTCGTCCGTGTCATCCCAACCATCACCAAAACCCATTCCCACAGTTCCTAAAGAGGGCATTCCGGCCTACCCCTTGTTCTATTCTTTTAATGAGCACCAAAATGGAGAACAGAGGACTCTGTGGAAGTCAGTAAGAAATAGGCGAGATAGGTTAGTAGGGACACCTTCTCGGGCATGAAGGATTTGTGAGAGACATATTAGAAACAGAGACAGGAGTTAGAAGGAGTAGAGGAAGACCTAGATTAGATTACTGTTTACAAATAGTTAAGGATTTGGAATGTCCTAGTTTTAGAGAAATGCGAAGATTAGCTCAGGATAGGACACGAATTCGATGCTTGTCGAACTATTCTTAGGACTGACGACCTTATAGTGATGATGATGATGATGAGCATTAAAAATATTTCAAATTTTCATAAATTGAAAAGTTTCTCAACGGGCACGTTTCATACCTGGTATCATTCTTGAGGAATATTGAATGTAATGTTTTGAAATGTTATCCCATCCTTAATAAGTACTCTAGGTTCCAAATTTCAATGCTCTAATGCGTCAGT